TCATTTTTAACATGTAGAAAGGCTAATGATTTGTATGGGTTTTATTTTATATCTTTTTATTTTGTCAGAATTATTGTTTCAATTAAATGTTTACTTGACTCTCGGGTTCTTTATGGACACAATGATATTTTATACAAAAAAAAATATCGTTTTGTTTCCTCTTTGTCTATCCTTATTTCCTCAATATTTTTCTCATCTTATTGCTATACCTAGCATTCAACATGTTAAATAATAGAGATGATAATAGATCTACTTGCTTTACTTCCCCATCTTATTGAAAAGGTTTCAAGTTTATCTCAATTGCATATAATGTCAACTCTTCTCAAGTCAAATCATCAACAAGCATTTACTAAGCACTTTATTGTGTTCCAGGTACTGTGCTAAGTGCTGAGAACACAAATGCCAGCAGAGTAAAAGATAGTCCGTGCCTTTATTTTATTATTCTTTCTATGTATTCTATTACAGATACTGTATATATTTTCCTATTCTACTTCTAGTTCAGGAGTTTTATATTCTCATGGGGAAGACAATCCATAAAAGATATCCGGGAAGTAGGGAGGGGGGAGTGAGGGTATTCAGAATAGGCATATTGCTATGATATGAAATTTTGGTCTAAATAGGCATATTTGGACAAGGAAAAGAAAGTCCAGTGAATTAACAGTATAGCCCTGGGAGGAATTAAAGCATGGCTGACCTGGGTTTCCTCCTTTAGAGGGAGGTTCTGATAGCAACCAGCTAATCAGAGGGAGAGACCTCAGGGCGAGAGGATACTCGTAATGTAAGAAGTAGTGAGGGGTAGAGTGAGTTTCTAGGGTAAAGAGATTTCTACAGTATTTCAGAGAAAATCCTATGGAGAAGAGTCAGATGTGTACCACTGCGAACATTCCAGGGCTGCAGTGATCTTCTAGGATGAAGAGGTTTCTATGGCATAGTTGAGAAAGTCCTATGGGTATAGGTCAGCAGTACAGCCTGGAGAGGCTCTTGGTTTTAGATAGATATGACTTAAATAACGGAAAGGTCCATTTATTTCCATGCTTTTTAGTGTTTTTAATGGACCGATCTGTCAAAAGCTTTTTTTTTCTACATATCTTAATATAATCAAATGATTTTGTGCTTTTTATTAATAATGTGTATATTATATTTATTATTTTCCTAATATTGAACCAACCTTGTATCCCTAGCTTGTTATACCTTGTCATAATATGTAGTTAATTTTTTGATATGTTGCTATAGTGTCTTCACTAATATTTTATTTGAAATTTACATTTATATTTCTTAGAAATGTTGATCTATAGGTTTTTCTCTAATTTGTCTCCTTGGTTTGGGCCATATTTGTGTCTTAGGAGAAACTGACAGAATTTCTTCTTTTCTTATTTTTGCAAACAGTTTGTGTAACATAGGAATCAATTATTCTTTGAATGTTTGATAGAATTTATTGTAACATCATATACTTTCAGAGTTTTTCTTTTCCTCTTTTGGAAGTTCATTTATAGTTTATTTAATTTCTCCTTTTAAAAGTGGATTACTTATATTATTTCTTATGCTAATCTGGGTATTTTATGTTTTTGTAGCTATTCATCTATTTTATTTAAATTTTCAGCTTTTGGTGGGGTATAATTGGACCAAATAGTTTTTTTTTAATAATTTCCTTTATTTTGTTTTCATTTTATGTGATTTATCTTATTTCATTTTTCATATGGACAGTTTGGTGCCCTCCCCCGCAATCACCTTGCTCACCTTTTGAGGAGGCTAGCCAATGGTTTGTTTATTTTACTGGTTTTATTTTTTAAAATAGCCTGTAGTGTTATCAGTTCAAAAGTTTTTTGCTTTTAATTTTAATGATCTCTAGTTGAAGTTTTTATATTTGTTGTTTTTTTAGTTTGTTTTAGTTACATCCCCTATTGTTTTTGTTTTTACTCTTTTTCTTTACAGGAGAAGAGTGTGCTCAATCCTAGTGATCTATATTTATGCAATCTGCTTCCATTCCAATATTCCAGTTCTTTTTACCTTGCCCAGTTCCCAGTCACAGATTATTACCCTTTCTTTCCTTTGATTTTCCCCTTTATCCTTTGAAAATGGACTTTGTTTTACTGATAACTAATTCCTCCCAGAATATATCCTCCTTCATCCCTTATTCCCTTTCCCATTTACTAGTTGGGTTTAATATATTTCTACGCCATTCTACTGTGTGTATATAGTCAACTATCCTTTGTTCAATTCACATGAAGAGAAAATTCATGTTTAGCCCATTCCCCAAACCCTTCCTGAATGTTTATATGGTCTTCTTTTCATGTCTGTGATTAAGTGAAGTTCAACCACTCTTTCTTTTCTAATGTATTTTTTTTTTCCTTAAAATGTTCTCAGGCCCTCTCTATGACCTTTTAAAACAGGGTTCTGAGGAGAGCCTTGTTTCTTTTTCTGCCTACTATGTTATAAACATTTCATCATCATAAATTCCCAGTTACTCAAATGGATTTTACTTTTCTATATTTCCTGTGTTCACATTTCAAAGTATCCATTCAGTTTTTCAACAAGACTACTTAGAAGTACTCTATTTTATTAAAGGTCCATTCTCCCTCCCTTCCCATTCTCTCCCTCCCCCTCTTCTCCCCTGAGATCATACTCAAGTTTTTCTGGGGAAGTTTTTCTTGGTTATAAGCCTTTATCTTTTGGCTGCTGGAATATCATATTTCAAGTTTTCCTTTCCTTTATGACTGCCAAGTCTTGTATGATCTTGTCTGTGGATTCTTGGTACTTAAACTCTTTCTTTCTGACTAATGGTGGTATTTTTTTCTTTGACCTTAAAGGTTTTGGCTATAATGTTCCTGGGAGTTTTCATTTTGGTGTTTCTTTCAAGAGGCTACCAGTGGGATCTTTCTATTTTCACTTTGCTGTCTGATTGTAATAGCAATTTTAAATGTTTTTAATTATTTTTTATTTTGAATTTAAATGCCCCCCCAAGAAGAACATTTTCATGTTTGCTGCAGAACACAAAATGCACTTTATATGAGATCATAAATTTCTATTTCATACTACTTAGTTAAAAGTATATAACAAATTCTGCATTACTTTCTAATCTGTCCATTTCTCTGTGCTTTCTTATGAACATCTCTCTGTTCTTTTCTGTGCATAATAAAAAGAAAAAATGTTTCAGTGGCCCTCTTATTTGTATTACTGTAACTACTCCTACATGCCCCTCAATCTTGTCCCAATCAAAAATTGGGGGGTGGGGCAAAATCCTTGTGACAAAAAAGCATAATCAAGCAAAATGAATCCACATAGCAATCATATTCAACAAAATATGTTTCTTTCTTTACTTTGAGTCTATCACCTTTCTGTAAGGAGTTGGGTAACATGCTTCATCAGAGATTCTCTGTAAACATGGTAGGTCAAAGTGTTGATAAGATTTCTTAAGGCCTACAGAGGTAACATGATTTTCCTGATATTATATTATAGCTCTGCATACAGGGCTTTTTCTCCTGACTCAGTGAGAGTGACAGGGAGACCTATTAAAAGAACTTCAGGCTAGTTAGTAAAAACTATTGACTATAGTAAAACTCACTTTGTGAGTTAACCAGTCTGTTTATGGAACTTTCCTTCTGGAGTCACTGAATTTGATTAATCCTGTTAACAGAGCTTTGAATCCTGACTAGTATCCTACCAATAAGAAAGTGGGAACCTAGCTCATAGTTACATTATTATGTTATCATTTAACAAGTAGGGGCTTGGACTCAGTTCTTAGCAGCTCATAGTGGTTTTAGGTTCTCTCTTTCTTATACTTTTTCCTGTCTCTACTGCTTTCCTATCTCTTAATGCTAACCTATCTTTGTTCCCCCAGGTAGTACTTAATCTCAATAATGAGTCAGTATTACAGTAGCGGTTCTTTGTCTTTTATTTCCAGCCCTTATAATATCTCTTAAACAAGATCCTAGGGACTTCTGTTCAAAATAGGACTGTGCCTGAAAAAAAATGTGGAATGTAAAGAAATGGCTGTGAAGTACAAGGAAGGACTACTTTCTAGAATATGTAAGAATAACAGGAGGTTAAAGATCCTGAGGAAAGGTGTTTGGCTTTATAATTAGAAGAGATCTGGGTTCTAATACTAGAGCTAATATTTATTAATGAGGTGGCCATGGTAACACCCTTTAAGCGCTGTCACCTTCAGTTTCCTCATTTGCAAAATGGGGATAATATAATACTTGTAATACCTCCCTCACAGGATTGCTGTGAGGAAAGAGCTTTGAAAACCTTAAAGTACTAAACAAGTATGTATTATTATTATGGTTATCTTATAATTTTCTTTCTATTTTTATTTTGTCTTTGGAACACAAAAAAGTGGGAGACATTATTGGGAGAGTCTGTCACTTTGTAACTAGAAAAATAATATTTTGTGAGTTCCCCAAAATCTACATTTTTTATGACCATTTGGATGAATTTCATTAAATATGGGAGTTGAATATATTATTGTGAATCTTGGATATTTAAGTGTACTTTCTGATGTGATACTGTATTCTCTAAGGACTCAAAACCTAAAAATTTTGCCTTTAAATTCTATGGCTTTCATTTTAACCTTTAGACAAATTTTCAGATTATTTATTTAACAAAATCAATACAGTCCTAGATGATGTGATCCTCTTTATCCCCTTCCTCCAATATTTCCTCTAAGATAGTTTTGGATTGAAATTTCATATGAACCCAAGAGAAATCTTCTATAGGATCATGATAAATTCCTTTAAAATGAACGGGTTTAGAGGCACTTTTATACCACTGAAATTCTAATGAAATAAATAATAGTCTTTAAGAAATCACAGGGCCAACATTGTTGCTGAAACCATAGTGCCAGGTGGCATTGGGAAGTATTGATTTTATGCCTGGAGTTAATTACTGGATTTATGGTGTGTGTCAATTTTACTTTGTGTATGTGTTTGCACATATGGGAGTTTAAAGCAAATTTGTATTGTGTCTTAGAGATAATAAAATATTCATGTACTTTTTTTTAGGATACAAGACTCTTTTGAAAGGAATTTCAGGGAAATTCAGCAGTGGAGAGCTTGTTGCAATCATGGGTCCTTCTGGAGCTGGAAAATCAACACTCATGAACATCCTGGCAGGATACAGGTGACTAAAAGGGAAAACAAGAGTGCAAGGGCTTTCAGTCTATTGCATACCTATTGTCATTGATTAAGTGTTAGAAAACTGCTACTCTAGGTGCTATAGGCCCGACCCCACATGGGGTCACAACCTATAGTTTTTAAGAAGTACTGACGAGAAAAAAAAAAAGTACTAAAGGGGTCATGAATGGAAAAAAAGTTTAAGAAACCCTGCTATAGGAGATACAGAGAGCTAAGCCTGCCTTTAGCAAGGTCACTCTTGAGTTAAGTAAACAGGACCTGTATAAATGAAAAATAAAACAATAATAATAAGAGATAAGCATGTGGTATATGTTAAATGTAAGTGCCCTGAGTTCAAGGGAAGGTGATTTCCTTGTGTATTAGAAAACTTCAAGGAGAAACTTGATGGAGGAAAAAGAACACTGGTTTTCACATCATATCATTAGTACAAATCCTGTCTCTGATACTTATCATCTATTGTGGGTAGTTATCTTGCCTGTAAAATGAAGAGGTTGGACAAGATGATCTTTAAGATCCCTTCTAATCCTAGAATCTATGACTCAGTAAGGAAGGACTTAGCCTGGCCTTAACATTTGAAGAGTGAGTAAAATATAAATGTTATAATGGCTTGGGGTCCATTTTGAAGATGAAAATTACCAATGAAAACAAAAGTAAAGAAGCATTAAAGGACAAGCCGTGTTAGGAGCTGCTAGGTAGTGCAGTGAGCTTGAAAGTCAGGAAGACCTGAGTTCAAATCTGTTCTTCAATACTTACTAGCCTTGTGACCCTGGGCAAGTCATTTAACCTTTGTTTACCTCAGTTTCCTCAACTATAAAATCAGGATAACAATAGTATCTATCTCCTAAAGGATCAAATGAGATAATATTTGTAAAGGATCAAATGAAATAATATTTGTAAAGCACTTAGCACAGTGGCTGGCTTATGTTAGCCATTTAATAAATGCTTATTTTCTCCCTCTGTCCTTCTTTTCCTTCTTTCCTTCCTCCCTTCCTGATGATTTCTGTAGCTTTTATTTGTAATTAAAAAAATAATAAAATCAGATCATATTAAGCATTTTGTATATCTTTAAGTACTCCATCAGTGTTAGCATTATTAATTGTAGTTTCATAGAATTAAGAAATCAAAATTACCAATATTTTTCCAAATGGAAAACTGGCTTCAGAAGTATTGAATTATATTATCTTATATCAAGTTTTCAGTTAAGTATGGTAATTATCACAAAGGCAGCTACGTGGTGCAGTTCCTAGAGTGTCAGGCCTAGAGTCAGGAAAACATCTTCCTGAATTAAAAGATGGCCTCAGACACCACTTTACCTGTTTGCCTCAATTTCTCAACTGTACAGTGAGCTGGAGGAGGAAATGGCAAACCACTCCATTATCTTTGCCAAGAAAACCCCAAATGGGGTCATCATGAGTCAGACATGACTGAAAAATGACTTAACAAAAATAATTATCATAGAGTCACTTTACTAACACTATAATAATTGGGATGAGATATGTTGAACAAAATTAAAATATGAAATATTTACTTTCTCTTGACAGCTTTGACCCAGGATTTAAAACACACACACACACACACACACACACACACACACACTCACACACTCACACACTCACACACTCACACACACTCACACACAAACAAAACTCCTTGCTATTCTAAATTAAGATTTGAAAATATAGAAAAGACTTCAGGTTAAGATTGTTATATTTAAGGACAAAAGGAAACCAAGCTGTGCCACAAACTCCAGGAAATATCTGAAAGTGATTCTAGGAATACCAATGTTTAAGAAAACCGAGGATAAATGGTAGTAAACTCCTCTAGCTAATTCAAAGTTGCACAAAAAAATAAGCAGATAAAAAAGACAGAGATAGGTAAAGAGGTCTCATTAGGAGAACTAACTCAAGAACAAGTAAATATAGAAGTCATTGGAGTCTGGGAGAGGACTGTGGAAGTCAGAAGAGGCAAGGAGAGCTTCCTAAAATGGACCTGAAGCCCACCAGCACTTTGAGCAGGAGAATTTGAAAGCCGTGAGCTCCAGTATTCAACAACCTGGACTGTCAGAATAGAAGTGGAGACAGAACCAGCCCCCGTGAATCACAGCTAGGGAAGCCAGGGCCTGTTTATGCAGTATTCAGAGCACTTGGAGCTACCGCAGAAGTTAGGGCGTAGTCAGTCTGTACACAAGCAGGAGGGCTGTGCAGCAAGCCAGACACCGGTGTGACTTCCAGTGTTTTAATGGAGCCTGTCAGGACCGCCAGCATGGAACTAGGTCCTGATTAGTTATTACACTAGGAGAAGATAAAGTACAGGCCAAAAGCCTCAAAAGACAAAATAGGGGGATTGTGGTAGGTTTTACTACCTAATACCAGCAATTTTATCTGGATCAACAGCAGGGGTGGCAGCATCTGGACTAAAGAGGGGACTTTGCCAATAAGGCCTATTAATCTGATTCAACAGGGAACTGGCCAAGCATAATTTCCCAAACTAATAATTGAGGCAGGAACTATAAATAAATAGAAAAAAAAAAACCGAACACAATAAAGAAATACTATGGGTTGAGAAAGTAAAAAGGTAAGCCCAGAAAAAAACAATAATCCCCCAAAGCAATGCCTCAGTAGGAAAAAAAACAAATTATTTGGACACAAGGAACAGACAGACTCAGGATCGTGCAAGACTTGGCAGAAAATATTATAATAAATAAGAGAAAAGTTTGGAATATGATATTCCAAAAGTCAAAAGATGTGATGAGCTTACTACCAATAATTATTTACCCTTCAAAAGTGAGTATAATAGAATATTATGATTTTAAGCATTCCTAATAAAAAGACAAGAGATTTGTAGAAACTTTGAAATGCAAACAGTTAAGAGAAACCTGTGATCACTTTGGAAGGGGCTCAATGTTCATGAAATGATTACATTCTATTTGGAGGAGAAGAGACAAGTGTCCTTTCAGAATCCTAATATCTTGAAGGGTCAGAGAAAGAGTTAGGACAAGATGTGGGTGATTTTTTTTTCTCTTGGGAAGATTTTAACAGAAGAAGTAAAATTGAGGATGGAAAGGAATATACTAGAGAAGAATTGAGGAAGAAATGGGACAAATGCATCTCATAAATGTGTTACACAAGAAAACATATAAACATGGAGGAAATGAAGGATTAAACATTTCATTACCTCACTCTTGTCTGAAAAGGATCAAGCAGAATGGATTAGAAAGCAGAATGCAGCTCTATTTTGTTTATAACAAATGCTTTTGAAGCATAAAGCTACATACAGAGTTAAAAGAGTGACCAATGTAGAACTTTTAATCTGTCAGATGAAAGTAAAAGTGACAATCAAGGTCTCGGAGAAGGTAACTGTAAAAATAGATGTGAGTAAAAAGAAATAAGCAAGGAAACTACATTATTCTTAAAGATACTATAGATCACGGAATAATATAAAAACTTAGTACATATACAACAACTGGCATAGTATCTAAGTACATAAAGAAAAAGTTAATTGAATTTCAGAGTGTAATAGCAAAATTATAACTAATGGGGACCTCAATATGTCCCTACTTATATAAATTCAACAAAAAAGATAAATTAGAAAGAAATTAAAAACTTGAATAGAATGTTAGTAAAGTTAGATATGATTAATCTTTGGTGATAACTGAATAGGAATAGACAGAAATATACATATTTATAGCTACGGATGGCACCATTACAAAAATCAATATGTACAAGGCATTAAAAACCCCATAAACAAATGAAGGAAAGTCAATATATTTAACATATCCTTTGCTGACTTTAATATAATAAAATATATAATCCATAGATGGTCAGTAAAGAAAGGATTTAAATAACTGGTGAATAAATAGTTTAGCCTGAAATAATTGATAGGTTTAAAATGAAACATAATGAAACAATAGATGATTTAATTAAAGAAAATAACAGTGGAACAACCTACCAATGCTTTTGGGACATAGCCAAAGCAGTCCTTAGGGGAAAAATTATTTTTCTAAATGCTCCCATCAAATGAAGAAAACACAGAGCAATGAATTGGGCATGTAAGTAAAAAAAAAAAAATAGAAAAACAACAAATCAAAAAATCAAACAAAATACAAAAAAAAAGAAATTTTGAAAATCAAATTGGAGGAATAAAATGTCATTGTATTGAATAAATAAAATAGCTGGTTAAAAACTCAGTAAAAGAGACAAACACTCAGTTACTCTGATGATAGAGGAAAACTCAAATATGGAAATGCAGAAGTCACAACTATTGAAGAAGAAATAAAGAAGAATTTTAGAAAATATTGTGCTCAAATCATTAGAAATTATTGTACCAAATATATGCCAACAAAACTGGAACCCTAAAGTAAATGGATGAATTTTCACAAAAACATAGACTATCCAGGTTAACAATAAGAAAGAAAATTTTGATAACCTAATTCAGAAAAAAAAAGTTAAGCCATAAAGGATCTCACAAGGAAAAAATTTATAAGTAAATTCTATCAAAGAAAAAAAATCCAATATTACCTAAAAATATTTGTGAAAATAGGAAAAGAAGATGTCCCACTAACCTCCCATGAGTCAAATGTGGTGCATCCTGATACCAAAACCAGAGAAAGAAAACTGTATACCAATCTTCCTAATGAATATTAATAAAGGAGTATTGAATAAATGATTACTGATTAGGCTGCAATAATATATTAAAATATACTCTATGTCAAGATTGGAGTTATGTCAAAAATGCGAAGCTGTTTTTTTAATTAGAAAAACTACAAATATCATATATATCAAAACAATTAAGAATCACATGATTATATTAATAGATGTAAAAAACCCTTTGAACAAATATATCCTCTTATGTTTAAAAACATTAACAAGCACAAGAATAAACATATAATTCCTTAATACCATTTCTATACAAAATGAACAACTAGCATTGTCTGTAATGGAAAAATACTAGAGGCATAGAAAGCAAAGATGCTCATTGCCATCATTATTTGATTTAGTACTAGAATAGCTAAATATAGCAACAACATAAGAAAAAGAATTGAGGGAATAAGCATAGGCAAAGAGGAAAAATATGGTTTTTAAATATGACATGATGACTTACTTAGGTCACCCTCAAGTCAGCTAAAAAACTTAATTGAAAATGGCAATGATAATAAAAAATGAGAATAGTCAGGATTTTGGAGGGGTTGTTGAAAGACAAGCACATTAATTCCTTATTGATAAAGCTCTGGATTCATATAACCTTTCCAGAAAGCAATTCATAATTATGAAAAGTAGCTAAAAAACCCATATACTTTGAACTAGAGATCCTATTGCTAGGAAAACTATATATCTAACAACTACAACAACGTAAATGGAACGAATAACTACCACAACATGACAAAAAATGGATACTGTGAAATTATAAGGAACAAACAGTTCCAAAGAAGATGTATGAAAAAAAATGCTTTTTCCCTGCTCCTTTAAAAAGGAGGAGTTCATAGGGGTGGACATGCATATAATGTCATATTTATTTTTTGATATGTTCATTGGTTTCACGTAATTTTTTTTCTTATAAGAGATAGCTCTGGGGAAAAACCAATTATGAGGAGGTGAAGGTGATGTAAAAATAAAAGATATCAATAAAATCTATTTTGAAAATTAACTGAAACTATTAATTTCAGCAAAGCAACAGGATATAAAATAAACTTACAAAGATATTTGGACTTTTAGTGCATTCTCAACATAAAACATGGCAGGAAGATATAGCAAAATAAATCCATCAAAATGATTACCGAATGTATAAAATATCTGGAAGTTCAGCTACTAAAACACACCCCACATTTAATTAATACAATTTCTAAAATACTTTACAGAAACAAAGATAGACCTGAATGCTGAAAAAAATAGTAGTCTTGGTTGGGTGCTGCCAATATAATAAAAATAACAGTACTACCTTAAGTAATTTACACATGAACAAAGAAACATTTATTAAGTACTTTTTATATTCTAGTCACTTGTCTAAGTATTGGAGTTACAAATACTATCAAGACAATCACTGACTCTAAGCAACTTATAATAGATGACAATGCATATAGGAGAATGGTAGCCAGAAAAGAGTGGTGATTGATTGACATATCCTTTCCAGTTATGTAGTATTGGTTTTGTTACTGTTTTCAGAGTCAGAGTTTGAAAGTTGTATTTGAAAGTATGCTTGAATCCCTGGCATTTAATATATCTGTATCTGGAACATAGTGAATACTTAATCAATATTTTTTGACCAACAGACTTACTGACAGTAGCAACATGATATGGAGATGTCCAGAAGGTGATACGGTATGCCAAAGTTGGACAAGATAAGATGAAAGCTTATCAAGCACAAAACCAGATACCAGAGACTGGGATCTAATTTCTAGGTGGTTGAGAAGGCTGCATAGTATGGAAGGGGCAGTTGTGTGGTGGGCCTGAGGGGCCTGGGACTGGAAAGATAAGGTCAAATTTCATCTATCAGAACTCAGTCTCAGGAATAAAAGTCTGACATCTGTATGTAGGAAGACTAGGAGGTTGAAGTGTAGACATCATGGTATACAAAGAAGACATGGCATTGTGGCCTGGATTAGAAAAGGTAAAAGAGAAAATACTCCAGCAGCCAGAAAGAAACCATTCAAATACTGTGGTGCCATAGTGAAGATCACACAGTGTGATATCCAAGATATATAGGGAAGTGATAAGATAGATTCTTAGAAGAGTCATTTCCCAATTGGTCAGATGATTTGAAGAGGCAGTTTTCAAAAGGAGAAAGGAAAACTGTCAAACAGATGGAAAAAAGGTTCCAAATCACTGATAAAAATTCAAATAAAACCATTCTGAACTTTTGGACTTCTTTGGACCTCTTCATCATGCCTTGCTTCCTCAGGAAACTTATTATTGAGAAATCTCATTTTCCTACAAGATTGAAATTGCCTGGTAGTCATTTGTCATCAATACTTTCTGCCCCTCTGATTGGACTCTAACTGGAAGGTGGGGCTATAGGCTCCAGGACCTCCATTTAAGAAAGGGGCTTGGCATAGTCCTCTCCCAATTTTCTACCAGCTACATTGCTTTTGGACTTCTCCATCATCTCTTTGTGCTAGTTATCTTCCTCCCTTCCCCATCCCCTCCCCAGCTTTTCAGTTTCCTTTTGTATATTGTCATCCCCATTAGATTTAAACTCTTTGTGGGTAGGGATGGTCTTTTTTTTTTTTAGCTTACATTTTTATTTCCAGCACTGAATCCAGTGCCTGGCACACAGTAGGCATTTAATAAATGTTTATTGACTTAATTTTATGTAAATATATATATATATATACAAATATTATATATGTGTATATATATATATATATAAACACACAAAACACAAAGATGGACATAGTGGGAGAAAGTCAAACAGAGCTTCACAATTTCATATAACCTTCCCTCTCTCCTTTTTTTCTTTGTATATTGCTTGGTGATATTTATTAAGTTCATAATAAGTTATCACTTAGGACATTTTCCTGTGTGTAGCATTCACACTTCAAAATCAAAGTGAAGTTCTTAAAACTACATAATACACAAAAGACTTAGTGCAGTTTTAAGCTATTTAAGCTTTCATTGATTGCATAATAATAACATATCATATATCATACATAAATTGTAATAAGCTTTTAATAATTTAAGCTATTAAAGTTTACATAGCTTAAAACTACACTGTGGCTTTTTGGATACCTTGCTTCATTTATCACCCTATATAGTATCTTAACTTTTGGTAAAATGTTCCTTTTCCTAAGTGGAGAAAATAAAGTTACCTTATATACCTTATATAGTTATGTGTATATTTGACAAATATTATTTTTTATACTTATTGGACAAATATTCATAGGATCCTTGGATCATAGGTTGAAAGCAGAATCATATATCCAACTTCTTAATTTTACAGATGAAGAAATTGAGGCCCAGAGAGGTGACTTGCCCAAGCCTACCCAGATAGTCACTAGAAGAACCAAAGTTGTAGCCTCAGTCTTCTGGCTCCCAAACCTTTCCACTTCACCAAGAGCTAATGAGAAAGAAGGTGGATTAAGTTCATTTCTTGATGCAAAGGATTCCTTGCTCTAAAGAATGCTACTATTAGAGCAAAGCTATTTGTAAAGGGCTCAGAGGATCATAGCTTTTGGATCATAGCAAGGGACCTTAGAAATCATTTAGGCCATCTCCTTCTTTCTGTTAATGAGCTAAGGATTAGAAAGGTTACGTTGCTTACTCAGGGTCATACAGGTAAGAAGAAGCAGTTATAATTTGAATCTAGGTCCTCTGACTCCCAATCCAAGGATAAAATAGAGATTTAATTATGTAAAAATTAAAAGCATACAGAATAAGGAAAGAAACAGACTAGGAAAGATTGGTGCAATAAACATCTCAGAAAATCCTGGCATCCATAATCTGCCATTCTCCTGCTGATAAATGGTTAAAGGATGTGAACAAATTCTTGAAGAGAAGAAATATGACATATTAATAATTACGTGAAAAGGATGCCTAATAACAAGAGAAACAAACATTTAAACAACTCAGATACTAAATATGAATGAAAACAAGAATTGGATTGGTTTTGTGGAATCTCAGATCTTCCTGTTCTTTACAGAATTTAGGAGATGATACCGAATAGTGATTTCCTAGTTGCCTTAGTTTGAAACATAGAAGCCGCTACTTCATTGGATTTTTTTTTAAAGCTGTCAAAGCACCTGTGAAGCTCCTACCACTTTTTGCTTTCAGAGTTGGACCCAAGTTAAGTTCAGTAATATTCATCATATCTTCACATATTGGCTCAGACTTGCTGCTCTTGAGAAATTTTTGGGTCTAACTTTTGGCATGAACACAGAATCATGCATTTCAATCATTCTCAGAAAGTACTGTAAAAATTGGAGGGTATCTATTTCATCCTCATGGGGTCCATTTAAAGGCATGCACATACACATCTGTCAAATGGATTTATTTAGTGGGAAAAGAAGAGTTCATTGTGACTGACTATATCTTATAGTGAGTCATATGCTTGACTTCACTTTCCTTTGCTATTCATTTTCTAATATGGAAGGTTGCTAAGTTGTGTTAGTTATCATTTAAAGCTATTTAGTTTCCTCTGTATGGTGTAGCTAGCAAAAAAAAAAAATCTAGAAAGGTCTTTTCACCTTACCTTCTTTCTCTAGTATTAGGTGACAGAAGGAAAAATGGAAGAGTATTTATCATTTTACGTTTTGGCTGACTGGTTTCTTTCCTTGTTGGCATTTTAGAGAGACAGGGATGAAAGGGTCAGTTCTCATCAATGGACTGCCTCGAGACCTCCGCTGTTTCCGTAAGGTATCATGTTATATTATGCAAGATGACATGCTGCTTCCTCATATTACCGTGCAAGAGGCCATGATGGTAAGATTTCTCAGCTCTGGGATTCTTCTCCTAATGTTCTCACTGTTGTTTTTTTAAATTGTCATCATCAGAAAATATTTATCAAGAATACAATAATACATGCTTGTATAGCAAGAAATATAATGTATTATTAAATATGTTATATATAATAATATATATATAATATAATCTAGTTGTATAGTCCTTTTATGAATAAGGAAACAGTTACATAGCTAGTGAGAGAGATGGAACTTGAACCCAGATCTCCTGATTCCTGATCCAATGCTCTTTCTATTCTGGCTCCTGTCTTTTGGGATATTTTAGGGATTTTGTAGATGAAATCTTGACTGTGACTATTTAAAAAATTTCTATGATATATGGAGAAGAGGAAGATCAAAGTATTCATATAATATAAATTATAGTATTTACTGAGATGATAGGACTACAGCACTAGAATATTTACTATGTCTTATAACATGAGTTTGTATTATTCACTGGGTAACCACTGCAACATTCAATAACAAATAGCTTTCCTTTCATTTTAAGATCATTCCTTTGCTATTCTTAACTTTTGGTATAGTATTCTAGCATTGTAATTTCTGTTACTATACCAGGATTTTCTTATGGTAGAGGAATAGGTCCATAGGATATCCCTTTCAGTCTTCAGAAGACTAATATTCCTTTCTTCCTCCCCAAACCTCCCTACCCATTTTCTTCATCTGTTTATGCTAACTTCCTACCAACTTTTTTTTTTCATGCAACTTTGAAAAAATCTGGCTCTCTAGTCATTTATTCCTTTTTTAACTTGGCAATTCTTATTTACATTTATTTGAGTCTTCTATGGAAGGATCCAAGACTTAGGAATTTTTTTTTAAATTCCTTATAATCTCTTAAATGACAGAGATTTCATGTATATTGTCTATATTTTCGGAATAATCACTGCCTCTTAGTGGACAAGTACTTCTAAAGTACACTAATACTTAGGTTACAACCTAAGTATACATGTGTACATGGCTGGAACTCGTTATCTTATCCCTAAACCCTCCTCTGCTCCTACCTTCCCTATTATTATAGAAGGCAATGCAATTCTTTCAATCCCTCAGGCTCACAAACTAGGAGTAACACTGGTCTCCTCACTATTTTTCACCCCTCTCCATGTCCAATCTGTTGCCAAGGTCTGTTGACTTCACCTTTGCCATTTCTTCACCATCTCCCAAATATTTTCCCTTCTCTCCTTGGATGCTGCCACCACTCTAATGTAAGCCCTCATCACCTCATACCTGGACTATTGTATTAGCCTGCTGGTAAGTCTACCTGCCTCAAATCTCTCCTCATTCCAATCTATCCTTATTTTGCCACCAAAGTGGTTTTCCTAAAGCATAGTTCTGATCATGTCATCCCCCTACTCAGAAACCCCAGTGGCTCCCTGTTGCCTCCAGGATCAAATAAAAAATTCCCTACTTGGCATTCAAAGCCCTTTATAACCTGGCCCTCTCTTAGATTTCTACTCTCCTTATATCTTAACTTCAGCACATACTCTTCAGTATAATGACACTGGCCTCTTGACTATTCCACAAAACAGGATGCTCCATCTCTCAGCTCCAGGCATTTTCTCTCCCCCACGCCTGTAGTTCAAATTCTGATTTAGATAGTATATATAGACATGCGTACAATACAGACTAGGAGATACTAAAGGATCCTAGTTAATTAAAGTAAAGGAATTTATTCTAAGTTTTTCTGATATGTGTTCTTCCCTATACCATATAGAGCTATTCTTCAAGGACTTTTCTCAATTATAAATGTGAAGTTTGTATTCTAAATCACTACAGCTAATAGTCTGCACTGTCAGAAGATTCTTTAAAAGTAGGTCAATGGGAACTTGGGTGTATAGCCCTCAGGTGAAATATCGAAAAGGAATAGTAGCCATTGTGAATTTAACAATCCATTCCATTAAATATTTATGTACTTTGTGCAAGACTTTGCTGCCAAGCATAGGAGATACAAAGAATAAATGAAAACATAATCTCTGCTCTTAAGGAGTTAGGAAGATATACCATTTGAACAAAGAAGTATAGATGACTATTTGAGGAAGAGGGGGAGAAAAGCACTAATAATTAGGGGGGAACAGTAAAGTGATTCCTTTTTCCGTGGTACGTATGACCCAGGTACCTAGTATGTTCATATTATATATATATATATATATATATATATATATATATATGTGTGTGTGTGTGTGTGTGTGTGTATGTATATACATATATATACATATACATATATATATATACTCATTATAATATCATAGATTGGCTTATGTGACTTAAAATATAGGTTTTTTTTAAGTCTTTCAGAGCTTGGAGCTGCAGTTCTTGATTGAATCAAATATATGTTGAAGTCTCTAGGAGTCAAAAAGCTTTCAGTTTGATTCCCAGTGTCCTTAATGACTTTTTGTTGTAACTTTATTTGCACTGGTTAGAATCTTTTATAGTCATTTGAAATTGTGATGTATAAAATAATCTTAACTTTGACATTACCTTACCTTTGACATGTTTTATTCTCCAAAGACTTTTACCCACATCTCATTTAATCTTAGCAAATGAGGAAACTGAGGTTAACTCAAAGATGTTAGTCAGTCAGTAGGCATTTATTAAGTATCTACTATGTATCAGGTATTGTGCTAAGCACGAAGGATACAAAAAGAGGCAAAAGACAGTCCTTGCCCTTAAGAAGCTCACAGCCTAACTGGAGAGACAACAAATAAGCTATATATAGGATAAATAGGAAATGATTAGAAGAGGGAAGGCAGTAGAATTAAGAGAAGTTGGGAAAGACATCCAATAGAAGATGGGATTTTAGTTGGGACTTGAAGGAATCCAGGGAAGCCTGGAGGTAGAGATGAAGAGAAAGAGCATTCCAGACATGGGGGATAGTCAGTAAAAATACCCAGAGCTGAGAAGTGGAGGGTCTTCTTCAGAGAAAGGCAAGGAGACCAGTGTCACTGGATCAAAGTATATGCGACAAGGAGTAAGGTGTAAGAAGACTAGAAAGGTGGGCAGTAAGAGGTCATGAAGGACTTTAAACACCAAGCAGGATTTTGTGTTTGATCCTGGAGGCCATAGAGAGCCACTGGAGTTTACTGAGAAGGGGAGTGACATGGTCAGAGCTGGGTTTTAAGAAGATCACTTTGAGGGGCAGCTAGGTGGTGCAGTGGATAGAGCACTGGCCCTGAAGTCAGGAGGACCTGAGTTAAAATCCAGCCTCAGACCAAACACTTGACACTTACTAGCTGTGTGACCCTGGGCAAGTCACTTAACCCCAATTGCCTAAAAATAAATAAATAAGAAAATCACTTTGGCAGCTGAATGTATTGGAGTGGAGAGAGAGACTTGAAGCAGCCAGACCTATCAGCAGGCTATTTCAGTGGTCCAGGCATGAGGTGATGAAGGACTGTACCAGAGTGGTAGCCATGTCAGAGGAGAGAAGGGGTCCTATTGGAGAGCTGTTACAAAGGTAAGATGCACAGGCCTTGGTAAAAGATTGGATATAGGAGATAGTAGGAGTCAAGGATAACTTCCGGGTTGTTAGCCTGAGGACCTAGACAGATGGTGTTGCCCTATACAGTAACAGGGAAGTTGGGAAAGGGAAAGGTTTGGGGAAAAGATGAGTTCAGTTTTGGACATGTTAAATTTAAGCTATCTATTGGACACCTAACTGGAGATGTCTAAAAGGCAGTTGGAGTTGAGAGATTGGAGGTCAGCAGAGAAATTAGGGTAGGATAAGTAGATTTGAGAATCATCAGCATAGACATGGTAATTAAACTCATGAGAGCCCAACACTAAGATCACCAAGTTAAGTAGGGAGAAAAGAAGAGTTCCCGGAGGGCAGAAGCCTGAGGGAACCCTTACAGTTAGAGGGCATGATCTGGAGGAGGATCCAGCAAAAGCAGACTAAGAAGGAGTGGTCAGACAGGAAGGAGGAAAACCAGGAGAGAATGGTATCTCAAAACCTGCAGAGAAGAGAGTTTCAAGGAGGAGAGTCCAAAGCTGCAGAGAGGTCAAGAGAATGAGGATTGAGAAAAAGTTAAGTAACTTGCCAAGGCCACACACAATAGTGGTAGTGCTGGGACCAGAACTCAGGTTTCCCATATGCTGATACATCCTTGGGTTTACAAACATTTATATTTAAATTTTCTATTTCCCATTTACCTCACTGAAAAATTAAGATAATTTAAATAAAATACCTGGAAACCTAAGATATTTATTCCTGTTCTATGATGAACTTAATACTCTATTAAGGAAATTGGCACATTAGATAAGTATCTAGATGAAACAAGCTAACTCCCTGAAGTTTTCTTCTTTCCTTTCCAATCATCCAGTTATAACAAAAGCAGGTGAGTAGATCTGACTAGTGCCACAAGTTGTTGTCCTTTAAATTGTGTGTGAGCCTTTCATGGCACCTTTTGTTTGCTTTGGTTTCGTTATTTAGAGTTTGGCTGTGTTGAGGTTTCAGGGTGCTAGGACCCTGAAATTCAAGGGCAAGCAATGCAGGTGCTGCCTCAAATGAATTTGACTCAAGCCTTCTTTTAACCAAAGACAAGGTTTATTTGATCACCAATTGAGGTGAGCAAGATTCCTAGTGAGTCTATGCCATTGGCCAGATTTTAAGAATCTGAGCTATTTAATGGGAACAAGATGATCACATATACAAAAAGACTATGGGAAGATCTGCATGTGATCTAGGAGTAACCAAGTAATCTGGGGTGACTGTGAGAAGGAATCTAGATGAATTAGGAGTGGGGAGTGACTGGGAGCCATCGGGAAGTGACAGAAGAGCTGGGCTACGTTAGAGGTAACAGAGAATTGGGAGATTGGACATAGGCCATAATGAAAGGCCAGTTGAAAGGATTATGGCCTCAGATGGAGGTGAAGGCCAGAGAGCTGGCCGCATAGGAAACCCAAGGAAAGCTCAGGGTGGGGGCTGTGTTCCCAGGGCCCATACCCCATCAGTTCTTCCAACTACCAGCTCCTTTTAGATAATCTTCTCAGAGTTGCTTTTGTCCTATTTCAGGTTTCTGCTCATCTAAAACTTCAAGAGAAGGATGAAGGCAGAAAGGAGATGGTATGTATAAGTCTTAGAAATGAGTATTATTATTTTTTCTTAATTTTTATTTTTAGGCAATTGGGGTTAAGTGACTTGCCCAGGGTCACACAGCTAGTGCCAAACGTTTGGTCTGAGGCTGGATTTGTACTCAGGTCCTCCTGACTTCAGGGCTGGTGCTCTATCTACTGCACCACCTAGCTGCCCTAGAAATGAGTATTATTAACATTTTAAACCAAATTAGCCCTTTTGTTAGTATAGCTAATGCCTTGCTGTTGCCTAGTACTCAATAGTTATCTGGGCCCAAAGAAGACAGAACAATGTTAGAGAGTATTGTTGTTGAGGTGTAGATGCCAGGGGTGCTGAGACCCCAAAATCATAACATGGGGGTCCTGCCCTAATGAATTCGACCCAAGTCTTCTTTCAGCCAAAGACAAGGTTTATCGTAGATGAACCATACAGGCCAGACTCTTGAAGAATCTGAACATTAATGACACTTGTAAGGATGAGGGGGCATGAGGAAATCTCAGCCCATAAATGGGGGCCAGGATGAATCTTATATACAGCCACGTAATTTGGGTTGACCAGAGGAGGGGCTGGAAGGAGGTTCCTGAAGCTGGGGTGACTGGGGAGGAGTCTAGGGAGAATCCCCATGGAAGTATCTGGGAGGTTGAATGGGGTCATCAGGGAATAGACAATGGAGGGCTAGGCTTTATTAAGGTAACAAAGAACTGGAAGATAGGGAAGAAAGAGGTTGAATAGGGTCTGGATAAAATCAAAGAAGGGTATCAAAGGGAGATTGGGCCTAGGCGATAAGGCCAGTTGATAGGAATAAGAATAAGAGATAAGGAAAGGCCTGTTGAGTGGATTATCACTTCAGGCAACCCCTTGAGGCTTCTTTGACCAAGTGAGCTCAAAAAAAGTTTAAGAGTTTTCTGGGGCTGTAGACAAATGGGACCCAAATTCTTTTTGGGGTGAGGGGCAATCATCATTATGACTTCTTATAACACAATATCTGTAACACAAAAGCAACAAGGAGGTAACAGGAAATGAAATCTATTTCTCAGTTCAAATGGTCAATAGATATCAAACTCAGTGCAAGTAGCATGTCTGTTATGAATTTTAGCTTTCAAGCTAAATGCACATCCATATTAACAGGTATTTTAAAAAAGATTAACAACCAAGGCCAGAAAATACTCTTTCTCAAATGCCCTATTATCTTCCTTCTTGTCATGTTGCTTCCTAAACAAAACTGGAACCTTACATGGTACCCAGTAGTTTTTTGGAACTATCAGAAACTAAATTTTAGTTTCAGAAATGAGATCTACTCGTCTCTTCTCTTGCCAAAGACTTGTTTCATATGAATGGCTGGAATTGGCAGGGAGGGGAGTGAGGAGGTCTAGAAGTTTAGGGGTGCTGGGACCCCAAGATCGCAATACGGGCCCTGACTGAATGAATTCAACCCAAATCTTCTTTCAGCCAGAGAAAAAGTTTATTAAAGATAAACCATACAGGCCAAGACTCTTAAGGAATCTGAACATTAGTAATGGCCATGGGGGCGAACAGGCATGAGAAAGTCTCACCCTTTTGGGCATGAGAGAGTCTCAGCATTTAAATGGGGGCCAGGGTGGATCTTATATACACTAAAGTAACTTTGGGTGGCCAGAGGAGGGGGCTAGGAAAAGGGTCTAGGTGAGAATTCTGATTGGAAGGTCTTAGAGATTGAATAGACAATGGGAATAGATAATGAAGGGAAGGAAGGAAGAAGTTTGAAAGGCATCTGAATTAGGTCAAAAGGTAGGGCTAGGGCTTTCAAAGGGAGATAAAGGGAGTTGATAAGGAACTGTTTGAGAGCAAGAATAAGATAAGTTTAAGGGTTTTCTGGGGCTTGTAGACAAATGGGAGCCAAATTCTTTTTGGGACAAGGGGCAAAGGTCTTGACTTGGGCCCATATCCCATCAGGAGGACAGGGGATAATGTTCTAGTTCAATTACTTTTCTCCTAACTTTGAGGGGAGCTTTCACTTTTTTTTCTTTCCTACAGGTACTCTGATGACTGTATTTAATCAATATTATGCTACCTAGCAACCAATAATTTTTATAGTTTGTGCTTAACTATGGGTAACAAATTCTTCAGGCTTTGTAGAAGCATACAGGGTAGAATGTGGATATTGGGTATGGGATAGCTTTTCTTTCATTTCACAGAAAATACGTAAGATGTGATGAAGTCACAGAAGTAAGTGAACAAATATAGAAACAAAAGCCCATTAACTCCTTCCAGAAGGAAACTGAACTTGGGACTGATGTCAGGGCAATCCTCTGTGATTCTGGTGAGTCCCAAAAACCTCCCCAAGGCTTGTTCCATCTGATGTTTTAGAATCAGTTGGCCCCCAAAGGTAAACATGGTAGCACCTACTCAACAAGCAAACTCTTTCTCATTGGTCTTGCACTATGCAAAAAACTCACTGACTTAACTTTCCAAATAGGATGATTTTCAAGAACTTTGAGGACTGTCCTCTTCTTTCCCCAGAAAGCATGCTGCACTAGGATATATTCCTATCTCTCTAGAAGGTCTGGGCCAGAATTCTGAAACAGCAGAACTCTTGAACTTGGGCAGCTCCTACAGATGGTACTGTAGAGGAAATTAACTTCTCAAGCTAGAAGGCTAGATTCTAGGATCATGCTGCTGAGGGAATTCAATCTTTCTCCCTCTTTTTACAGAGGAGTTTGAGGTTCAGGAAGTGTCTTTGAACTCTCCTCTCAGATCACATGCAAGCACATTGTTTTCTGCTTCTGTGATAGTTCCCTATTAATGCTCTCCTTCTCTATGTCTTTTGCCACACCCGAGAAGGGGAGGAATGAGGAATGGAAGCATCTGCTATGCCTTGGGCACGGTGCTAAGCACTTTACAGATTTATTTTTTATTTGATCCTCACATCAACCCTGTGAGGTAGATGCTATTGTTTTCCCCATTTTACCATTGAAGAAACTGAGGCAGACACCCCCTATCATGTTGTGGCAGCAGGGCTATGCAAGCCAATCCATAACTTTCAACAGAACTAAATTCTATGCCCTCTCCTCCCCCCAGTACCTCCCAGACCAAAATGACAAAAGAAATTTTTTTTTGTAAAGAGCATTTTATTTTTTTTCCAATTACATGTAAAGATAGTTTTCAACATTCATATTTTATAAGATTTTGAGTTTCAAATTTTTTCTCCTTCCCTCCCCCCCTTCCAGCCCTCCTCTCCAAGATAGCAAGCAATCTGATCTAGGTTAAACATACGTAATCATGTAAAAATATTTCCACATTAATCATCTTGTGAAAGAAGAAACACTACAAAAGGGAAAAAGAAACACATATACATACACATGCACATGTACACGTGCATGCACACACACAAAAACCAGTGAAAATAGTATGCTTCAATCTGCATTCAGACTCCATAATTCTTTCTCTGGATGTGGATAGCATTTTCTATCATGAATCTTCTGGAATTGCAAATGACAAAGCTCAGAATCAAGGAGCAGGATAGTGGTGAGGAGTCATAATATTTTGTGCTTCAATTGAGCTCTGCCAGAGAACGAGGGCAATACACCTGTATGAAGTTGTGTAGCACTTTATTAAGCCTGAGGAGCAGAGCTCAGCATCTACCATGGGCCAGTTCTGTCCCCCCAGAAGTCAGTGGGGGGCAGAGACATAAAGTGGTGAACTGTGAATTGCCCATTATGGGAGGAGCTTGAGACAACTTTGAGATCCCGGGGAAACTGCCAAAGGGGAAGGAGTCAAAAAGTGAGGAATATGGGAAAATTTTAAAAAAAGACTGTAATTACCAAAGATCTCAGGGGAAACAAAACTCAATTAAGGACCTTGAGAAAAATCAGATAAGTCAATGCAGAAGATACTAATAACACAAGCAAAGATGGCATATAGAAGAAGGAAATTTTCAGGCATCTATGAATAAGTATTGCAAAACAAACAAAAAGGAATCAATGCCTTGTGAGGCATAGAACCCTGTGGATTCTGAAGAGACCATGGAACCATAGAAGATATTCCTGAATGATTTAAAAGAGAAATAAGAATTTAAAAACTAGAATTTATTGTCTTCACAGCAGAAATAATTGGCAAAATAGGAAGAAAAAAAAAGAACTTGAATCTATCATGGCAAATTTCACCAAAGAAGCAAGATAGTTCATCGGGATTGTAAATATGCTGAAGTGAAGGACAATCTGAAAGAAGAGAAACAAAAAGCAAAAACATTAAAGGGAAGCATGATCTCCATGTTGAGCTACTCTCCATTTTCAGTCTGTAGCTCTGCTTGACTTCAACTCTATGCTGAGTATCCAAAGTGGTCCTCTTCCTCCCTCACTATTTTCCAGCTTTCTTTTATGTGTTGTCTTCAGCTATTAGATTGTAAGTTTCTTGATGGTAGGAACTGTTTTTCTTTGTATTATTTGTATCCCCAGTGTTTAGCACAGTGCCTGTCTCATAATAGGTGCTTAATAAATGTGTATTGTATTGCATTGCATTTTATTATATTATATTATCTGGAAGACAGGATGTGTAGAGGTAACTTAAGGATTTTAGGTCTCCCAGAAAGAAACAACAAATCAACATATGCAAGAAATGATACAAGAAAACTGCCCAGAACTTCTGGGCAGAAAGCAAAATTCCAATTAAAAAAATCTATTACCTCCAAAATAAAAAAAATAGACACAAAATGGTTACATTTAACAACTCCACTTACAAACAACAAGACTTTTAAAAATAAAGGAAGGAAATTTGAATAACAAAAGATTATTCTGCACTTATTAGAAACCACAAGAGAAAATGGAATAATGTGTTTCAAAGAGCAAAGGAGCTGAAGATGTAATACAAAGTGACCTATTCTGCACTTTGGAACATAAACATTAATGGGAAAAAAAATGGACATTCAGTAAAAAAAAGAGACATTTGAAACATTTCTAAAAAACAAAGGTTAATAGATTCCTTTGAAGCATTTTTAATCTTCACCTAAAATATTCCTTTAATGTCTTTTAATTCATATTAACGGACAGAAAAATGACCCTAATGGGATGAATGGAAGTAAATTATTTTAGAATATCCTGGGATTCTTTAATCTTCCAACTAAGCTGGGTGTTATTATGAAGAATGATACAAAGGTTTTAAAAAGTTTTCAGTGTTGGAATAAGAATAATTCTTGTGATTCTTGAAAGAAACAAATCTAGCCTTCTTTCTGCAGAAAATGTTTCCTATGCAGTGCCTGTAAATCTGGGGCCAGCCTAAGTTTTAATGAAACAAACAAACAAAAAAATCAAGACCCAATGAATGTGGAAAATATGCAAATTACCTCTCTGTTTTCTGATTTGTAAAATGAAGGTTTTTAGACCAGATGATTCTAAAATTACCTCTAACTCTGGGTCAACCACTCATCTTGAAAATGGTATACTAACTTGATTAGGAGATGGAATGCTAAATGACAGTCCATTTAAGGAGTAAAAATGAACTATAGAAATAGAATGTAGGTAGAATCTGACTCCAGTTTACAATGATCCCAAAGATCAACATAATTCAATAGCATCTCTCCACTAGACTGGTCCTTTATACCTGTGGATTTTCTCTCCTTGAGAAAAGTTGTATGGCAAGATAAAAAATGGAAGGGAAGGGGTCAAGAGAAGAGGTAGGTATTTGTGAATAATTCTCCCTCTCTCAGAAATTGAAATTGTAGTTAGTTATCTCTGAGGGTTCGGAAGTTTGTTTGATTGAAGAAGATGAAATGAACTACTCTTAACTGGCCTTATCTTTTTGAATGTGGTTATAGCTGGCCCTGTTAAGGCATTCCCCTCTTGCTGTGCAGGACCTGCTCTATAGCAACCAATTTTCTCTACCCCTAATTACTTTGTATACATGTTACATTTCCTTTTTTGTGTACTTTTCCCTCCACTCTTCGATATAATGCACAAGGACTCTTTGTTTTTGTCTTTGTATCCTCAGTACCTAGCAGTGTGTATCACAGAGTAGGTACTTCATAAATGTTTCTTGAGTGAATGTAGAATGAAATCAATATCTCTTTAATTATTTGAGAAGGTAGTATGGATAGCAAGTTGATATTGAAACCATAAAGATCTGAGTTCAAGTCTTGCCTCTGACATATACTGGCATTGTGATCCTAGACAAGTTATTTAAATTTTTAGGGTTCTAGACATCTCTCTAAGATTAAAAGTTGCAGAGAAAGCACTGATCTATATTGGTAGAGGAAGTTTTCTCATCTGAGAGTTTCGTATGCCAGTGAAATTACAAGTCCACTCCCTTTCCCTATCCTATACTATTAATTAGGGCTTTCTATTAATAAATGTTTTACATTTGATATTAAATAATTTCATTGTTTCTGTAAATACTATTCTTAAGCTGTATTTGTTGTCTCAGATATACCATATACATTCATCTCTCAGGGAAGCAGAAATTTTAGGTAAGGAGTCATCCCATCCCTCATGAAGATAATGTAATAAACTAATTAGATACAAACTCAAATTGCTATAATATATAGTTGTATGATAAATTCTTTCTCAAATGAACCTAATGAAGAGAGTTTAATTATTTACTTCATCTAAAAGTAATAAATTCTGGAAAGAAAAAGTATAAAAGAAAAGATTTTTGTTAACATCTTCACAGGAAAAAGTCTCAATGATAAGAATGACAATCTACCCAATTGCCTTGCTCAAAAAAAAAAATAAGTCTGGTGTTAACATCTAATAGCATTTATAGCATTTGGGGCAGCTAGGTGGTTCAATGAATACAGCACCAGCCTTGGAATCAGGAGGACCTGAATTCAAATCCGACCTCAGACACATAATACTCACTATCTGTGTGACCTGATTGCTTTGCCAAAAAAAAAAAAAAAATGAGAATCTGGCTTGTTTGCATTTCTTTTCCTATTTTGTCCTATATTAGTGAGATATAGCTTAGAAATATTTTCTGCATTCCATTACTGAAACAACATTTTGTGTCAACTGTTAACAATTAAGAAACCCAAAATAGTAGTATTCTTTCTTGTGAGTTCTTTCTTTTTGATTAACCCCATCTCCTAATTAAAATAAAGTAATTGAACTCTGATGGTAATACCTGCAATGCTTAACTGGCAAGAGCCTACATTAATAGGGGCAATGACAAACTATTATACACTCTTGTGCCTTGTTAAGATTTCCTATTGCAACTTAACCTAGATGTGATCCTGTTGCAGATGAAAATGAGAGGCGACAGGTCTTTTGGTAAATTCCATTTCAATTCAGTTCAGCTAGTATGTATTACTGTATGCCAAGAACACAGCTAAGTGTTGGCAACACGACAGTTCTGTTATTAAGGAGCTTACATCCTGTTGGAGGGAAACAATTTATTTGTCTATAGGTATATACAAAGTAATTTCCAGGGGAAGGACACAGTTCTAATATGAAGGACGGTTTTTTAACAACAGAACAGGGGGCCCAGAGATGACAGCAGGAAGGTAGGATGGGCATCTTAGGTTTATGGTGCTGAAATGTATGCTTATTAAGGAAGCAGGCAGTGGTGTTTTTAAACAGAATTGGCTCATGTTTTATTTTTGTCAATGAATAAGAGTAGTTCTTTGCATGAGTGATCAAATTATAGGCATTGATCTGAATCAAGAAGGGTGTACAATTCACAAACGTTCATCAGAGTTGGTGTGAAGACTGTGCAGATTCTGCAGTTGTTTTTAGGAGCTTCACATACGTTACCTGTATTATAAGAGAATTACATAGACTAAAAGAAAGTTAACCTGAAGGTTTTGCAATATAGATGGCTATGTGGCCCTTGTGTATAAAATAACTTGGGGTAATTTAATCATGTTTCCCATGTTTTGACTAAAATAAATAGCATAGTTTGAACGTGGTAACTTAGCCCTCATGTTACTGAACTAATCTCCTAGGTGAAGGAGATCCTGACAGCTCTGGGTCTGTTGTCCTGTGCTAACATAAGAACAGGAAGTCTTTCTGGGGGCCAGAGAAAGCGTCTTGCCATTGCTTTGGAATTAGTGAACAATCCACCTGTCATGTTCTTTGATGAGCCTACCAGGTAAGTTAGAAACATCTGTTGTAACTGAGACACTGCTTTATGAAAGACAACAAAGATGCCTCTAAAGTTAAACAATTAACAGTTCATTTTGCTTTATTATATTAAGATGTTTATGAATTCATCCCTATTCAAAGCATTCTTTATATCTGTCTTTTCTAAATTGATTATAAGGGAAGGGAGAAGAAGAGAATAAGCATTTATATAGTGCCTACTATGTGCTAACTACTGTGCTAAGTGCTGCACAAATATCTTCTTTAATCCTCACAACAACCCTGTAAAGTGTAAACTGTTATTATCCCTATCTTACAATTCAGAAAACTGAGGCAGATGGAGATTAAATGACCTGGCCAGGCTCACACAGCTAGAAAGTGTCTGAAGCTGCATTTGAACTCAGATCTTCCTGACTCCAGGTCCAGTGCTCTATTCACTGTGCCAAACAATTTACAACTGTGAGGAGACTGGATAGAAGTCTACATAAATCCCAAGTGCAGTTGCCACAAGGATTTCTCCTTTGATGCTGCACTGTTTAATATGGTTATAATTGACTTGACTAAAAGCATCTTAACACATTTATAGGTGATATAAAGCTGGGAGGGAGAGCTAACATATTGAGTGATAAAATCTGAATCCAAGGCTAGAGCTCTGGGCTGAACATGATAGGAGAAATTAAATAGGATAAATGTCAAGTTTACATTTAGGTTCAAAAAATGAACCTTTCAAATACAACATGGAAGAAGCATAGTGGTCATCCAGGTCTTTTGTTTGAAGAAGCAAAGGAAACTAGTCAGATAGCTTTCTCAAAGGGTACAGTCTTGAAGGAGAGGAGAGGTATAGGATGATAGCTACTGAGAATGGTAGGATCAAGAGAGGGCTTTTCTTAAGGAGGGGAAGACCTGGGTGTGTTTGTAGGTATCAAGGAAGAAAATAATAGATAGTGAGAGATCAAAGATAAAGAGAATGGGGATGATAGGAGGATCAATGGAGAAGATGGGAGGGGCTGGGACCAAAGTTGAACTCAGAGAAGGAGGCACTTTGCTTTTTTTGTGTCATGAACCACTTTAGCAGTCTACTGAAGTCTGTAGCCCCTGCTCAGGATAATCTTTTTAAGTGTATAAAATTAAAATACATAGGATTGCAGAGTAAAACAATTACATTGAAATGTAGTTATCAAAAAATTTTTTTTAATCCATGGACCCCAAGTTAAGAACTCTTGATGTGAAAGGATAGGCCTTGGCAAGAAAAGGGCCACCTTTTCATTGGATACAGGACTGAAAGAGGAAATAGATGTCTAAATGATGTAAGGTGAGAAGAAGAGGAAATGAGAGAGCTCTCAGAGAATGGCCTCATATTTTTTAATGGAAGTATGAGGTGAAGTCCTCAGCAAAGAGGGTATGGGAAGGGACTAGGAGAGGTGAGAAAGGTTAGAAAGCCAAGAAAATGGAAGAATTCACCTCCCAACATCCAGCTCAGGCTTCTGCTTCTCTGACCACTGATAATTCATGGGTTTCTTGCCCTTTCTCTTCCTCTTTTTCAGTGGTTTGGACAGTGCCTCCTGTTTCCAAGTTGTCTCACTGATGAAAGCTTTGGCCCAGGGAGGCAGGTCCATCATCTGTACAATCCACCAACCCAGTGCTAAACTGTTTGAGCTATTTGATCAGGTATACTTCATTTGGAACTATCTATCTACCTATCTACCTATCTATCTGTCTTTCTTTCTATCTATCCATCTATCTATCTATTTATCTATCTATCTATCTATCTATCTTCCCTAAAGTTGCATTCATATTTAGTATCTTTTTCATTGAAATCAGATAGTGCTTCGTCGTTGTTTTTGTTCATAACTATAGTTTTAATTTTATTCATCTCTATCACCTTTTTATTTTAAGACAAAATAGCTTAACAAATATTTGTTTAATTGAGTTAAATCAAATTGAAATGCAAAATCATAGCAAAATCTTATGGGGTGAAAGTTTCATATTGCTACTTCCAAAAAATATATACAAAACTATATTAAAGTGATCAAAAACTACTTTATCTCCTCAGTCTTCTGACTTGAGGCATTTATCTCTTTAGGCCTTCACTGATACTTTTTATGGAAAACTCAAAGTCCATTTAAAGATAAGGAATTGTACAAAAAAAGACCTTTCAATCCCTCTTGTTACATAGAGAAAAGGAGCATCATACCACCTTGTCTTCTCTTTTCTCACATGCTCTTTCATTTTTTTTCCTCTCAGCTTTATGTCCTGAGTCAAGGACAATGTGTATACCGGGGGAGAGTTTCAAATCTAGTACCTTACTTGAGAGATTTAGGTCTAAACTGTCCAACTTACCACAACCCAGCAGATTTTGGTAAGTATGAAAATTAATCCTCTCTTTTGTTCATTTTTTACTCTTTACTAGTGAGAAGGAATAGAACAAGAGTAGCTTCTACTTTTTCAGTTTTTGGTACTTTTACCTGAAGCCCCTGCATCTGGAAGAAATAATTTTTTTATCCTTGAAGTTTTGCTCTCCCTAGCTACATAAACTCTTTTAATGGAGTAGAAGGGATGGGACCAATAAGCTTGGAACTATGGTGCATGTGGAAGAAGTGAAGAGCTCCCTCTTTCTAGCTTAATGACCTTTTCTGTTTCATAAGACCCTAGGGACTATTGCTTCCAAAGATCTGATGCCTGAGTGTCCCCTTTCACTCAACAGGCCAAAGCTCAATGAATGAAAAGAGGTTCCCTCTCTTTCCTCTACAAAATGAGAAGTTAGATAAATTATACTTTAAGCCCCTTATTGATCTAACAAGACAATTTGAGGGTTGTTGTTTTGTTTTGTTTTGTTTTTTTCAGGGAAGGAGCAATGTCTTTAATCCCTCAAAGCATCTGTTTGCTAAAAGGCTGTCACTCTATTCTTAACTCTGAATATTCAGGGTTTTTTTTTTAATACCAAGTGAAGGAACAACTGGCATTAGTACATAGTTATCAAAAATAATTAGTTTACATCCCTATTAAAGTGTTCTCTCAACAAGCCCCGGGTCTTCGGTGGTCAATTCAGGCATCTGTTTGTGAGGTGGCTAGATGCTTTTCTGAGTTCACTTCCTCTTACTACAAAGATAGTTGTTGGTGGTTACTAGAAAGGTAAGTTATCTTGGTAACCATACTAAGCTAGAAAGAGATTACCCACTTTGGGTCCTTTACTATAGACTCTGTTCATCACAAAAAGACTAATGCAGCTCTGTGCCTAATGTTGCTAAATGTAGATAGCAGAAAGAAAATAATTTTCCAAGTGAGTTTACACAATAAAAGATTCACATAAAGAAGAACCTGAAACTGGGAAGAGTCAAGGAATGGTAGATGAGGTAGAAAAGAAAATGCCAAAGAGAGATTGAGGGGATCAAATAAAACAAATAAAAAAAAAAAACTAGAAGACATAATTGCAAATGGTTACAATAGCCAAAACTAATTAAGTAAAGAAAAAATATGGAACAAATGCATTGTTGTTCAGTTGTTTCAATTGTGTCTGACTCTTTGTGATGCCATTTTTTCACTTTATTAATCTTTTATTTTTCCCCAATTACACATAAAAACAATCTTTAACATTAAAAAAATTTTTCAGTTCCAAATTGTCTCTTATCCTCCCTCACCTCCTCCCTCATTGAGAAGGCAAGCAACTTGATATAGGTTATACATGTGCAGTCATGCAAAATATATTTCCATGTTAGTTATGTTGTGATCATTGTATTGCTGAGAATAGCTAAGTCATTCACAGTTGATGATCATACAATATTGCTATTACTATGTACAATGTACTGGTTTTACTCATTCTACTTTATATTAATTCATGTAAGTCTTTCCAGGTTTTACTGCAGCATCCTGCTCATCATTTCTTATGGTACATAGTATTCCATCACAAATATGTATCATAACTTGTTCAGCCATTCCCCAATTGAAGAGTAAGCCATCAATTTCAATTCTTTGTCATCAGAAAAATAAAGCTGCTACAAATATTCTTGTTCATATAGGTTCTTTTCCTTTTTTGTTTTTTATCTCTTTGAGTTACAGACCTCGTAGTATTATTTCTGGATCAAAGGATATGCAAGTTTATAGCCCTTTGGGCATAGTTCCAAATTGCTCTCCAGAATGGTTGGATCACTTCATAACTCTGCCAACAGTGCATTAGTGTCTCAATTTTGCCACATTCCAATATTGTTGTGACTATGTACATTGTTCTCTTAGTTCTTCTCACTTCACTTTGCATCAGTTCACATCAGTCTTTCCAGGTTTTTCTGAAAGCATCGTGATCATCATTTCTTATAACAAGATAGTATCCCATCACAATGATAAACCACCATTTGTTTAGCAATTCCTCAATTGATGGGCATGCCCTCAATTTCCAATTCTTTGCCACCACAAAAAGAGCTGCTATAAATATTTTTGTACATGTGGGTTCTTTTCCCATTTTTATGATCTCTTTGGAATACAGAACTAGAAGTGCTATTGCTGGGTCAAAGAGTATGCACATTTTTATAGTCCTTTGGGCATAGCTCCAAATTGTTCTCCAGAATGGTTGGATCAGTTCACAATTCCATCAACAATGCATTAATGTCCCAGTTTTCCCACATTTCCTCCAACATTTGTCATTTTACTTTTCTGTCATGTTATCCAATATGACAGGTGTGAAGTAGTACCTAAGAGTTATTTTAATTTGCATTTCTCTGATCAATAGTGATTTAGAGCATTTTTTCACATGACTATAGTTAGCTTTGATTTCTTCATCTGAAAACTACCTGTTCCTGTCCTTTGTCCATTTATCAATTGGGGAGTGACTTGCATTCTTATAAATTTGACTCAGTTCTCTATATATTTGAGAAATTAGGCCTTTTTCAGAGAATCTTGCTGTAATTCCCCTCTGGCCCAGTTTTATGCTTTAATTCTAATCCTGGTTGCATTGGTTTTGTTTGTGCAAGCCCTGTTTAATTTAATATAATCAAAATTATCCATTTTACCTTTCCTAATGCTTTCTATCTTTTATTTGGTCATAAATTCTTGTATTATCCTATTTGGGGTTTTCCTGGCATATAATGGAGTGTTTTGCCATTTCCTTCTCCAGCTCATTTTATAGGTGTGGACTCTGAGGCAAACTGGATCAAGTGACATGCCCAGGGTCACATAGCTAATATGTGTCTGAGATCAGATTGGAACTCTGGTCTTCCTGACTCCAGACCTAGAACTCCAGATGCATACTGCCACCTAGCGGCCTCAGTTATTTATAGCAGCTCTTAAACTCAGGGAGTACCCACTAATTGTAGAATGGTTAAACAAGTTTGTTTATAAATATTGTTTATAAATGCTATGAAATAAAATTATAGTATAAGAAATGATGAAAAGCATGGTTCCTGAGAAATCTAAAAAGACTTGTATGAACTGATGCAGAATGAGATTAAATAGAACCAGATGATTTATAATATGAAAACAATATGACAAACAACTTTGAAAAATTTAGAAACTCTGATCAGAGTAATGGCTACAGTTCTGGAGGACTCATGACTTTTGAAAGATGCTACCCACCTGTTTATAGAGGTGATGGACTCAGTGTGAAGACTAAGACTTTTTTTGAGGCGGGGGAACATGTCCAATGCAAGAATTTGTTTTACTTGAGTATTCATGTTTATAACAGAAATTTTGTGTTTCTCTTTCTCTGTGGAGGTGGGGGTCAGGTGGGAGGGAGAGAAAACAGATTTTTGTTAATTTAAAAAAAATTATTAAAAATTTTTGTCTGTATTTAATTACCTGAAGTTTAGTTACAAAGAGATGTATGTATGCATATGTAAAAAAAATATTCTGAGATGAAGAACTAGCAGTGGTATTACTGGGTCAAAGGGTATAAATACATGTATACATGTGCACCTATATGTATTTACCCTATGTATAAATTGCCTGAAGATAAATAACACATTATGTAATGGAAATGGTAACTATTTGCAGTATGATTCATATAGATGAAACCTTCAAGGGTATATACCCCCAAATATTTATTATGCTGGAATAAGTTGGAATATATGCTTCTTTGGTTGCAAGTTTTGTTTTCAACTTTTTGATCTAAAATGGATATTGATTGGTGAATAAACTCTGCTAGTTTTTTCTTTGGTTGATGCCATTTTTGTGCAATAGAGTTTGAAAAGAAAGCTATGCTTTCTCTTGAAAGAAATGAGTTACTTGGAAAGGGATAAGCCACACCTCCCCCCACCCCCGAAAGGGAGTGATCCCCCAGAAAAGCTCTAACCACAAGAAAGGAGAAGGTCAAGAATTGTCTAGGTGTGTTTAAATAGGTCCTCTGGTTCAGGGGATATTGACCACTCTTCTTGCCTACCTTCCGAGTACCTCCTGATACTTGTAAATGATTTTGATACTTTAATATAATATGGAGTTTATATAATTGTTTTAAAACATATATGATTTTTCTTCCTTCCTCTACAATAGCAATCTCATTATTTGTAGTAGTGAAATGTCCTTCATATAATTAGCACATCTATGAATATTCCTTGGCATCCTGTGACTGACTTTCATTTCTAAATATTTCATCTAGTAATGGAGGTTGCATCTGGTGAATACGGTGATCAAAATAGTCGCCTGGTGAGAGCTGTGCGGGAGGGCATGTGTGACACAGAATTCAAGAGAGAATTTGGGGGTGATGCTGACTTGAACCCTTTCCTTTGGCACCGGCCCTCTGAAGAGGTAAAGCAGGCAAAATGATTAAAGGGGTTGCAATCAGTAATGTCAACTTTTAAAAGCGGGAGCAAGAGGAAAACCACATGCTGCATTGTGTGCTCTGTTGCACATGGCTGTGTTTTGTAGCCAAAAACAAACAACAAACCAAAACTTCATTTTAGAGACTGACTTTCTGTATTCTCTTCTATTTCTTTAGAACTCCATTTCTTCTGAAGGTTGTCACAGCTTCTCAGCTAGCTGCCTCACTCAATTTTGTATCCTCTTCAAAAGAACATTTCTCAGCATCATGAGGGATTCGGTAAGGCTACTTTATGTTGCTCTTATACAAAAGAATTTTATTTGGACCCTTTTTATAATGTCTTCCAGAATCTTCCTAAACTTTGAATAGGCATACTAGTAGTTATTGTGTGTTAGTCATATCCAACTCTCTGTGACCCCATTTTGAAGTTTTCTTGGCAAAGATCCTGGAGTGGTTTGTCATTTCCTTCTTCTGTTCACTTTACAGATGAGGAAACTGAGGCAAAGTGGGTTAAGTGACTTGACCAGGGTCACATATCTAATAGGTGTCTGAGATCAGATATGAACTCATGAAGATGAGTCTTCCTGATTCCAAGCCCAGTGCTCTATCCACTGTGCCACTAGCTGCCCTATACTGGTACTATGGTTGGTAGTAATTATGTTCTTAAACTAGGGCAGCTGGGAGCTTCAAAAGGCTCAAGAAGACTGATTCCTGAGCTCATTAGCTATGGTTCATTAGGATATTTTCCTGCCTTCCCTCCCTCTGCTCCACTTAGACAAATCCCTTCCATCCTGGGAAGTAGCAGGACTTCTAGAGGCAGAGACAGGAGGAAAGCATTTTCCAGGCAAGTCAAACCACCACTACCACTTATCTTGACCACTATCTCACTTCAGGCACTGAAGGAGATAGCCCATGAACCCTGGGCCCAAGAGCCTTATGAATAGCAGTTGCCCCACAAAGCGTCAAACCTGCTTCCATTCCCTAAGCCATTAATGAGAGGTGAAATCAATGTGGAGAGGAGATCCACCTTCCCTGTCATCACCAGCAAGAACTGCTCATTAAAAACCACCAAAAGTCAAATGGGCAAAGAAGCTGTGAGAGTGGCATCAACACCAGACCACTAGTCTTGCTTCCAGTTCAGCTTTTATAACCATCATCTAGGCAGACAACTCCTGTGAAGGGGTCAGCTATGATGTCCTATAAATCTTCCATAGGGAGGCAGTACATGGACTGTTTTTCTGTTATCCTCCACTCCTATATGACAGACTGCCTTCTTTTCCAGTTACAACTATTTTGGATGATTTTTCAATTCAATTTTTTTACACATCATCTTTGGTAATATGCTACAACCTATTTGCACCTAATATACATATCCAATTCCCCTTTTGGTGACCCACAAATCTGATTCTTCAAAGATTGTACTGTTCTATAAGTTTGAAGCTATATAGATCAATGCAAATATGTTAATATTAAAAGGATAGGTTTTTCTTTCAGGGAGAAAATTGAGGTAATTGAATATGGTACATTGAGAGCACTGTACAATTTACCAAATTCAATAATGATTATGATAATAATTACATTTAATGAACCCAGACTTCTTGATCAAAGAAGATCATGCAAGAAAACAGTAAAAACTGCTACAAATCACTGTAGGTTGCAAACATTTGACACCTACTGATTACTTAGCATAAAGCAATTTGGAGGATAAAGTTATTACTCAGAAGCTCATTGACTTTCATAAACTAATAGGTAACAAATCCCCATGTGACAAATAGAGACTTTCAAATATGCTTGCAAATTCAACAAATAAAATATAAAGAACTGTAACATTATCACAGACAAAACTATTGGTCATAATCACCAAACAACATTGATCCATAAAAATTTAATAGGAATATTTTGAAAGATTTCACCATATCAAATACTCATTCACTAAGTTATATGGAATAAAAAAAGTTTTTTTTTAAATATAAAGCATTAGTGGAACAAATAAAAACTGTGTGGGGGAACTGGTTGAAGAACATATCATTCCCATCATCCTGGATGCATCTTATCCCCAAAGGTAGTTTCAGTGAGCCTACAGAAGATGTTCTTATATCGCAACATTTTTATTCAATTACAAAAAGCAGTTATTTTATTTTAAGCAGAAAAGAATAATAATAGGATTGAGACATATTCTGGTTTCTGTTTCTGTTATTTATGTTTCCATCTGAATTCCATCAAAAAAAAGATGACAATGAAATGATAATAATAATAATAATGACCATTTCAAAGGTCAATCTGTTATCTAAATAATAAGGGGTCAGTAGCAGGATAATGTACACCAAGGATTTTGTGTGCCCTGATACCACTTCAGTAACTGTGAAAGTCTGAACTCTGAAACACTGTCCAGTTCTGGCAATACCACTGATTAGGATTCACTCCAGCCAATGGGATGAAACTACTCTTATGAATCTAGGATATATATATACAGGGGTAGCATGGGATTGTAGACTGAACCTACTCAAAATGGTCATGATGATCAGTTTAATTTGGAGAACAAGTAGAGTGAGTGTCCTTCTTTCTTGTTTTGACACCCCAAGAATGCAAGATGTATTGGAGCAAATCAATGATATCAATCCCCACCATTAATGTGGATAAATCACAAGTTTGAATGTAACTGTTTTCTGAGGCTATCCATTTTAATGTTGTTGTTATTGAGACAAAGACCTTGAGCAAATACCATCTCAGAGTTTACTAATTTGGATCATGTGCATGGAAATTGAATTTCTGGGACTGTGTTTTTGGAGGCATCTAAGAAAGAGAAAATTGAAGTCAGAAGCAATAAACTTTTTGGTTCTTTATATGTGAGAAAGCCCAGTCAGTGGTGAGTGGGCAGTCCCTCCTTAGGTGCCAGATAACCTATCCCTTATTCCATCCCTTGACAAGCTCAAGTTCCAGACAGTGAGCTAAGAAGAGACATGTCAGGTGTTCATGGTGAGGATGCAGAACAATTGGAACAACTTGATATTCTCTCTCACTTGCATGTTAAATAACTTAAAGATAGTATCTCCATTAAGCTAGTAGACAATCTCTTCTCCTTTTGGCAAAGGGCTAAACCCATGAGAAGTCTTTCTAGCTTGGTAGTTGGTAACACGATCAATCAGTCAATCAATAAACGTTTATTGTCTACTATATACCAGATGTTGTGCTAAGTGCTTGGGGATACCAAAAAAGTCAAAAGACAATCCTTGCCTTCAAGGAATTTACAGTGTAATGGGAGAGAAAACATACAAACAAATATATGCATAAAGCAAGTCATATACTGGATAAATAGGAAATGATTAACAGAGAGAAGGCACTAGCATTAAGAGATGTTAGGAAAGGCTTCCATAAAACATGGGATTTTAGTGGGAATTTAAAGGAAACCAAGAAGTCAGCAAAGTGGAAAACACTCTAGGCATGGAATATAGCCAGAGAAAACACCAAGAGCCAAGAGATGGAGTGTCCTGTTTATAAAACAGCCAGTAGACTATGTCACTGGATTAGAGAGTATGTGGTAAAGTAAAAGGTAAGAAGAATGGAAAGATAGTAGGGGGCTAGGTTGTGAAGGGCTTTAAATGCCAAAGAGAGGATTTTGTATTTGGTCCTAGAGGCAATAGGGAGTCACTGGAGTTTATTGTGTATAGAGGGGTGACATGGTCAGACCTATGCTTTAGAAAAATCACTTTGGTGACTGAATGGAGGATGGATTATAGTGGGGATAGATTTGAGGCAGCAGACCCACCAGCAGGCTATTACAATAGTCTAGGCATGAAGTGATGAAGACCTGAACTAGAGTAGTGACAGTGCCAGAGGAAAGAAGGAGACTTATTAGAAAGATGTTACAAAGGTGAAATCAGCAAACTCTGGCAAAAGATTGAAAGTGTGGAATGAGAGAGACTGAGAAGTCAAGAATGACTCCTATGTTGTGAGCCTGAGGGACTGGGAGGATAGTGTTGCCCTCTATAGGGAAGGTAGAAGGTGGGGAAAAGATTTTAGGGGAAAAGACAATAAATTTAGTTTTGCACATAACTGAGTTTTAGATGTCTACTGGGAATCCAGTTTGAGGTATATGAAATCCTTTCAGTGATGTAAGATTAGAGGTCAACAGAGATGTTAGGGCAGGATAAGTAGATTTGAGAATCATCAGCATAGAGATGGTGATTAAATCCATGGGAGCTGATGAGATCATCAAAGTGAAGAAGGAAGAGAAAAGGGCCCAGGATAGAACCTTGAGGGCCATCTATGGTTAGAGGGTGTGATCTGGTTACAGCAAAGAAGAATGAAGAGTGGTCACAAAGGTAAGAGGAGAACCAGGAGAGGGTGGCATCCTGAAAACCTAAAGAAAACAGAGTATCAAGGATCAAAATTGTCAAAGGCTACAAAGAGGTCAAGGAGAATGAAGACTGAGAAAAGGCCATTGGATTTGGCAATTAAGAAAGCATTGGTAATTTGGAGAGAACAGTTTCAGTGGAATGATAAGCTCAAAAACTAGATTGTAAGAGGGTCATAAGGGATTAAGAAGACAGTGGGAGGAAAGTGGAGTCACCAGTTGTAGATGGATTTTTCAAGTTTAGCTACAAAGGACAGAAGATATATAGAGTGATAATGGGGATGGAAGTTTGAGGATGGGGGAGACATAAGCATGTTTGTGGGCAATAAGGAATGAGCCGGTAGACAGAGAAATTGAAAATAAATGAAAAAATGGGTATTTCAGAGGGGGAAATCTGTTCAAGGAGACAGGATGGAATGGGATCACTTGAAGAGGTTGAAATGTTAGCCCTGGTGAAGAATAAGACCACTTTATCATGTAAGACAGGGGTGAGAGTGGCAGAAGGCATCTCAGTGATAGGAGATGAACATAGCCACAATCTCCTTGCTAGCCAATGAAAAGTGCTACCATTTTATTCCTTTATATAAAAGAAAATTCAATAGCTGCTTAATCCTTATCTGTTGTGATTGATGCTGGCATGGAAGCTCTACCCATCTCTACTCTCTGTAAAGGGATAAGAGACACATCCCCACTTTGGTAGAGCAAGGGGAGAAAGTGCAGACATAGACGATGTTTGGAAGTTCTAAACATCATTCTAAGCATAAATCTTCAAAAACAGGAAAGCCTAGAAGACAAAGAATTATGTATTTTTATCCATATGATCCTAGACCTAGTAGAGATAAGTCCTTGAAGCCAAAGCAAATAAAAACTGAGACAAGGGGAATCTGTGCCACCCACAAACTAGAAGCTCTGGTATCACCAACCC